GAATAATCTACCATTGATCGTAGAATAATGAACCGTTTTGATGACATCGCCTACTGGTCTGTCATCAACGGTATTATAGTAAACGCTTTTTCTGAAAATAGAGAATAATCTACCCTCATTGGTATTATGATAAACGCTTCTACTAAAAATGGAGAATAATCAACTATTGATCGTAGAATAATAAACCCGTTTGGTGAAATCGTGTGCTGATTTACCCTCAAACGTATTATATAGAACGCTTCCTATGAAAGCGGAGAATAATCAACTGTTGGTCGTAGAATAATCAACTCTTTTGATGACCTCATATACTGGTATACCCTCAGCGGTATTATAATAAACGCTTTTTCAGAAAGTGAAGAATAATCAACCGTTGGTCGTAGAATAATGAACCATTTTTACGATATCGTACAACAATCTACCCTCAACAGTATTATAATAAACGCTTCTGTTGAAAATGTAGAATAATCAACCATTGATCGTAGAACAATGAACCCTTTTGATGACATCGCCTACTAGTCTGCCATCAACGGTATTATAGTAAACGCTTTTTCTGAAAGTGGAGAATAATCAACCATTGATCGTAGAATAAGATTTGTTTTACATGAATCGTATAATAATCTACCCCTGATTGTTGGATAATAAACTGATTTTGGAAGTACGTATATTAAGCTATACCTATCCGTTTATTAATAAACACTTTGAATAAAATTATGAAATACAAAACCCTTAAAACAGCTTCATATACCCTTTTTATATTCATATACCCTTACGATCACAAACCCTTCGGCTCATGTACCCTTCATAGGGTATATGGCGTGCGCATAAACCCTTCAAGGGTTTATAGAAAAAAAAATCAAGGGCAAGCGTTCATTATTCTGCCCTTTTTTTTTACAGTGTATGAAGTATTAATATTATTTTCTTTAATTCCGAACAAAATAATAACTTATTGATATTTTTTTAAGAATAAAATAAAATTAATCAATTTTAATTAATAATAATATTCTTATAATGATAATTTGAATAAAATTCAGCTGTAAGATTTGGACAATTGAAGGATTCTTCTTTGATATGATATACAAATGAATAATTTTTCATTTTTCTGTTTATCGTATCATAGTAAGTCTGTAAAACAGAACAAATAATCCTGTTGAATTTTCTGATTCGACATCTAGTCATATCACACTCAGATGATCGACATAAAAACGAAAACAAAAACAAAGTATTTCGAAGATAAAATTCAATCAACTCTTGGCGTGTCAAAACAAAACGTCTTTCTTTTATTTCAAAAAACTAGTCAAACAATCTTGGAATTGATCGTAACTGAACAACATAAATAAATATAAGAATGCAGATAAAACATGCTATATAATCATTCATGTCTTTTATATTTGAATACAATTCATTTTACCACTTTTTTGTTTATTCTCTTATTTATCCGTTGTAAAGCTGAATAGTAATCATCCGCAAAAACAAAAATCTCCATCACAATCTACATAATATATGATCGTTTTGTTCTCTACAATTACATTTGTTTTGTTCTCTTAGTTAATTTTCTCTTTGTTTCGTTTCGTCTCTCTTTTATCGTTTACCTATACCTACATACTCAATAATAAGAAAAAAAATAACAATGTGCAATAAATAATGATTATGATATTATGAAAACAAATCTTGTTTTTATTTTGATCATAATTTATACTTATCAGTAATTGCATATTTGCAATCGTTCGTGTTGACATTTTTTTTTATGTTTGCACTGGAAAATGACAACTTTTTATAAAATCTAATTGTAACAATAATATATGAGCTATTCGAATATAACAATAAAATGAAGCTAATGCATTAGTGTGCATTCAATTATCGTCGAAATATATTATTTCTGATTATCTTTACTATATTTATAATTAGTTTATTATACTGCTTATTCACTGTTATCTTATGTTTTAAAATTGAATTTTGTTGCATATTTTTTTTTCAGAATATTATATATTGTTCTCTTCTACATTATAGTAGTCACGATTTTTCGAAGTTTGAAACTGATAAATATGACCCTTTCATACAAATTATTAAAATTATTTCCTTTAGTTCAGAACAATATATCAATCTTTGCATATTTGTTTTTTTTTATGTTACATTGAAATCTTCTTCTTCAACGTTGTATAGAAATAAATAGATTTTTCTATTCAAGCATGTTTTTCTTCTTTTCTTTCGTTTACTATATTATAGCAAGTCAGTGAAAACTATGAATTCTATTTGACTATACTTCATGTAATCGTCAACAGTGAAAGTAGTTATACGATTAATTCTTAATAAATGAATTTGAAGTGAATAATGAGTCATATCTTTACATTATTAGTTTTATTTACAGAGTTTTTCTGCTCTGCATGAAGAGTATGAATTACATATTACTAAAAATGTTACAGAACAAAATAATGAATTATCATAAAGATAAAATACGTAGAGCAGAATGAATGAGTTCTACCGAAAAACAAAACATTTTGAGAAAATTTTGAATAATTCGAGTTTTCAGTGACTTTCAGAGTTAAAATTTTTTTTTGTTCAGGGTGTAGCAAATGTTCATCCATTATTGCAGAATAAATATCACTATAGCAGAGAGATTCTTTTTGTTCGATTCAACTGTGTCGTTTTTTATACTAGTTCTGCTGTTTATACGAAAAATTTAACTATACTTTTGTAAAAATTGAATTTTCTTATGAAAATGAAATTCATTTAAAATAAAAGATGTATGATTCGATTCATGTTTTGATGATATATCAATTGGTATGTTTGTTTTCAAATATAGTTCAATTTCGTTTATCTTGATTTGTTCTTTTTCTGTTTTTTTTACACAAAACAAGAAAGTTTATTTTTGGATTTGTAAATCTATTGATAACAGATCAATCTATATCTTTTCAAATAATATAAATTAGTCTGCTTCTTTCAACTTTTGCTTTTCAGCAATCGATTAAGTCAACAAATAATATTTTTGATATATATATATATATATTGATTATGTGCTTGATTTATATTTAATAACAAAATACAATGCAGTTTTTATTTAACGCCGATGCGTTTCGTGTTTACTTATTATTAATATATTAAGACACTCTTCAGGGCACTGCATTACAATATTAAGCAAAAAAAAGGAAAATATAAAGAAGTAGAAAAAGTTAAAATATAATAACAATTTAATTTTCAATTAGCATGATTAATTCAAATAAGGACAGAAATGAATATAAAAAAACATATAGAAAAAACCAAAATAAAATAAAATTAGTAAATTTTTATAGGAGAAGTCTTTTAAGAGATTAGATGTAGTCTAAACTAAAAAGTGTCATTATAATATGGTACTAATCGATCGACTTTTAGTTGGGCATTATGGTTTTATATTTGATAATTTTTTTTAAAGTATGATTGAAATAAGTAATGTCGTTTTAATTTTGAATTTATTGATCTTCATAGTTGTTGTTATCGATTGAAATAAGATTTAAAAGATAAATGGAATTCACCGAATATAGTAAACTAGCGACATAAGTGTATAATACCAATATTGGCTATCAGCGATGTCCATTTATTTAATTTTTGTTCGTTTCATTTTTTATTTTCAAATTAAATTATTTTTAATAATGAGAATCGATTATCAACATATTCCAGAAATATAAATATAATCGTGAATCCACGATAGTAATTTCTTAAAAAAATATTTTCATTGTATGGCTCTTTATTAAACTTTAGGGTGGTATAAGATCTTAATAAAGCTTTAGGTTTATTTATGAATTTATCTTTTTCTCGAGGATGCATATAAAATCAATAGTAGCTTCGATGGCTTTATACCTTTCCCAATTACTCGGTATTTCATATTTTATTTTTTAATTTTTAATTATATTAAATTTCCGTTTATATTGAATTAGAGTATATTATATTAATTCAAAAAATAATTTATTTGTTTTATAATCCATTGCTCAACTAGGGACATATATTTACTTAATTTATTGTTGGCTAATACTACTATCCAAATATAAAATTGTTCAATTTGATTATTCTGTTTGAAGATCTATATTCTTCAGTTTGTTTATTTTAGTTGTAGGACTACATTCTTCAGTTTATTTCGATTTCATTCTTTGATTGGTTTGCCGTTTTATAAAATATTAAGAAAAATAGATGTACCAAGATGTGCTAGTTTTGCTAACAATTATTAAGGTATTATCTGTTTTATTAAGAAGATATTTCATTTATTCTTAATAATTCTTTTTATAATAGGAACCAAACAAGTGGTAAATTGTGCTATATAATTTTATTAATTTTTGATATACCACAACTTAAAAAAATGGGTGTGGGTGTGGGTGTGTATATAAGATGATTCCAAGCTACTTGCGACGATCGTTTCGAATGGGGCTGAATCCATTCATCATCAGGTAAATTCGGAATAGTTTATATCTGCATTCAAAAAGATAGAATCTCAAACAAGATGAAGTTAAAAGGAGTCGAAGACTCTCTCATTAACATTCAAAATAATGAGATAAAATCAAGTATATCGCAGAAAGTTCTTATAGGTGTGCATATAAGATGATTCCAAGCAAATTCTCTGTTTCAATGGAGACTTAGTTTTTTCTAATTCTTCATCCGATGAGAATGGCAAAATATTTTTGGTTTCGATTGTGTCTTTGCTGTGGCAAGCCATTTGAGATTAATCGGGCTTGAATATTTTTTACTTGTATAGCGAAAATATAGATACTAAATCTGAAACAGTAAAAGAAAGAAATTGAATATGAGATTCTATTTATTAGAGACGATCGCTTTGTTTTTTAGAAAAGGAAAGTTATTTTATCGACAGTTACACTTTTTTTTTTTTTCAAAAGAAAAAAACAATAAGTCAAATGTTTTGTATCAAGTAATTATGCGGAGAAACAACTAGAGAATAAGTACGATTTTATATAGTTAACATGAATGGAGCATTTGTATATAATTGACATTAGTAGGTAGAGTGTGTAAATAGCTATTATTCATATTGTTTCCATTTTTGTTAATAGTTCGCGTGGAGGTTTCTTATGAATGAAAAAACTTACTAAAGTAAGATTGGTGTTTGCGACTAGCATCACTTTTATGTCTTCAAGTGGTGATCGAGGAAACGCATAATAGGTTTGCCACCATTTGTAGAATTGATTTGGTAAATTACTAGTGAGACTAGTATCATAAAGATAACATGGATACATTATTTCTTTATTCCATATTTTTGGTTGTAATACGAATGATTTTGCAATTGGATCATGCATCATGTTAATAAGTTTTTTCTCACGACGTGTTGGTTGTTGTAATAGAGTTTGATGTAAATGATGGTAAACATCTTCATTTAATTCAGTTAATACAGGCATTGCACTATTTAAACGAAAGAATCGATGGAGTTGTTGAGTAATAAAATTTGGTGGATAACTATTCAATAATAATGACATATCAATACGGATACGTTCTGAATTAAAATCACTGACATGTGAACAAATACGAGCAGCACGTAATAATCCTTCATATGGAATATTACGATGAATATGATGTGGATGATCCGATGTGGATGTGGGTGTGGGTGTGGGTGTGGGTGTGGGGTGTGGGTGTGGGTGTGTGTGGGTGTGGGTTTGGGTGTGGGTGTAGATGTTATTTAATCTACACCCACACCCCCACACCCACCCACACACCCGCACCCACAACCACCCACACACCCGCACCCACAACCACCCACACCCGAACAGACGATATCAACGGGAAAATAGCCTTCAAATGTACATCGGAAAATGCGGTTATATCGATTCGAGAGATATGAGAGTAGATAAGAGTATTTAATCAGCGATGATTGAGCGAAAAGATAGATCGGATAACATCAACTGAAGAGAGAAATTCCAAAAGAATATCAAGAAGTTCATTGGGTAATGATAAGAAATGAAGAGCTTCTACAAAAGTATCGAGCAATTCAAAAATGAAAAGTTGAACGAATGGAATTACCTGAAGAACTGGAATGCGTCAGAAAAATATGTTCTATGATATTCACAAAAATAAGATATTCGAAAGTTGGCTTTAATATTCAACGCTTTCTACTGGCTTCATACAATTGATACTTATTTATCTGATGTTTTCAAAGACATACAGAGTAGCCTTCCATAGTGGACAGTAATGAGTTTAAATAGAACATTTCGCTGATCATGATTCAACATATAGAATGGTAATTTTACTTCACTGACCCCGACGTGTGAGCGACAGAAAAAATACGTCTGCTGTGTTGTATAGTCAAGAATGATGTATAACGGCATTACGACATTTGTTTCACAAGAGAAAGAGTATTGTATAAGATCAATAGTCACTAATTGGTAGATAAGGATGTTCGTCGGCTTTTCATTCTCATGTTTCTGCTTTTGACATGTGGGATGATGTTGAATATTTGAAAAAGTCGATTATATTATTTCTAGGCTTCTGCAAAATGGTCACGGTCACGGTCACGGTCACGGCCTCTCGCGACCGTGACCGTGACTAGTTTTCGAAAAATTGTCGTGACTGGGATCGTGACCGTGACCAAATAGCTCGTGATCGTGACTTAATGGTGAACATTTTTGAGATTAGAACTCTAATTTTCGTGAAAAAAAATCAAGATTTTAATTGATTTACGTGTTTTCTGCGTTTTATTACAGAGAAAATCTGCGAAATCAATATAAATCTTGATTTTGTAGCACAAAAATCCAGTTAGTAAACCAAAATTTCCCTGACCGTGACGTGACTGTGACTAGTTTCGAAAAATTTCCGTGACTATGACCATGATCGTGACCAGGCAGCTCGTGACCGTGACGTGATCGTGACTAGTTTCGAAAAAACTCCGTGACTATGAACGTGACCGTGACCAGGTAGCTCGTGACCGTGACGTGACTGACTGAAAAATCGTGGTCACGCAGAAGTCTATTTATTTCCTATCACTTCAGACATCTAGAAACATGAAAATTTGAGGGCGTGGATGAAGATGGGTGGATTGAGAGAAAACATCAATACCCATACGCATATCGAGAGATCTCATTCAAACGAAATCTATTCGAAAATTTAACATTTGTCTGTCTTTCATTCCTATACATACTACGGTAGGAATGGTGCCAATGAGAAGGAAGAGGAGAATGAGGTTGTTACTGCTTATCTTAACA